CCAAGGGGAAATTTAAGTGGGAGGCCAATATCCACGCCCTTCTCATGGATTCGACCCACTGCTGACCCAACGAGTTCTTCCTCTTGCTCAATTTTAGAAGAAATCCATAATTGGCTGACCGACTCTTACTTATTTTTAATGGCGCCGAGAAACACTATTTTTGAAGCGCGTCAACATGCCAAACCAAGCATATTTTTGCTCTAACTTTTTTCAAATTATTTTTTGGCCTGTTTAAAAAGTTATCCTCAAATTGCTCTCAAGCGTTATCCTCTCCGACATACTTTTTTGATCTGTAGCTTTTTGCTCTAAGCAAATATCCTATCTTCCACGTAATTTCAAAACAAAAGTTCAGTTTATAGTTTATCAGAAAACATAATATAATATTTTATAGTAGAAAATTTTTATAACTCGCTAACTAAGTCTAAAACAAAACTAACGGTTTGCAGACAATATCCAATAAAATACCCTTAGTGGAGCTATTTTTGATTCACATAAATCATGCTTACAAATAACTATTAGCGTTTTTAATTTGCGACCTTCACTTTTTTACGATTTGAGTTCAGATCTCAAAGCAGCGTATTCGGACTGCGCCAAACAGCAACAAAATTTACATATAATTAAAATTCACCACATCAATTAGGTTAACCAAAATGAGCAGTTTGTCAATTTTACACAATTTTTCAAATTTTTTCTTTTGGCCTGTTTGGAAAAATTTATTCTCAAATTGCTCTCAGGCACTATCCTCTCTGACATACATTTTTCATCTTAAGCTTTTTGCTCTAAGAAAATAACCTATCGTCCACGTATTTTCAAAAAAACTCTGTTTATTGGTTATCAGAAAACATATAACATTTTGTAAAAGAAGAATCATACAACTTTTTACCTAAGTCTAAAACAAAGCTAACGGTTTGCATACAGTATCCAAACTATTACCCTAAGTAAAACTGTTTTTGCTTCAGATAAATCATGCTTACTGATAACTGTTAGCGCTTTTAATTTGCGACCTTTCTTTTTTGTTACGGTTCGAGTTCAGATCTCAAAGCGGCGTATTCAGACTGTGCCACTCAACAACAAAAATTGTATATAATTAAAATTCACCGCATCAATTAGGTTAACCAAAAAGAACAGCTTGTCAGTTTTACAAAATTGTCTAATTCAAGACTCTAGATACGACCTTTTTATAAGACCACTCAAATAACAGATAGATTATATAAGATCAAAAACAAAAAAACAGCAGGTTATTTTTTCAAAGCAAAAACAATTTCTAAAAAATTGTTTTTCTACAAAACAAAAACTAATTTCAGAATCCGATGCACCGATGTAACAACCTTAAAAAGTCTCGAAGACCTCCAACAAAATGAGCGATTGAAACAAACAAGTAAATGAACAACAATTTTTTTCTGATACAGAAACAACATCACAAAAAACTTATAACAGAAAACCAGTATAAGCATACACTTGGAATCAACCTTTACAAAATATTGAAACCTACAGATTTACAATAGTACATAGAAGAAAAAACTCATTGAAAACGACAAAAATTTCGAAGAAATTTCTTGTCTACCAGTTATCGCAAATCCCACCAAGGACTCATCAATACCAAACTATATAATAACCAATAACTTCTTGATCAATTTGGGGAACAGACGCTTTGTTTGCAGAATGCAATAAAAGATGTCTTACAATCCTCTTACGGCATTTTTGCAGTAATTTTGAATTTGAACAATGTTCGTGCCTTAACTTTTGCATCTTCGCTAATAGTATGTGAACAAAAGACGTTTGAAAACTTCTACTGAGGAATCCTCTTTAGTCCAGGCACCTCACACAGGTTTTCTAATTCATCCTATTAAATCTACCGAATAAACGAAACTGCCTTTCGTTATTTTTCCAAAATGTCAATTTTACACAAATGTCTAATTCAAGACTCTAGATACGACCTTGTTAAAAGACCACACAAACAACAGATAGGATATATCAGATCAGCAAACCACAGAAAAACAGAAGATAATTATTTCAAAACAAAATAAAATTCTAAAAAATTGTTCTTCTACAAAACTAAAAGCAATTTTAGAATCCTTAGCACCGATGCAACAACCATAAAAAATCCGAAGACCTCCAAAAACAATTACACAATAAAACAAACAAGTAAATGACAATATTTTTCTGCTACAGAAGCAACAATATCACCAAAAAACTAAACGTAGAAAAAAAGCAATTTTAACAGAAAACGAGTATAAGCTCACACTTTGAATCAACCTTTACGATAGATTGAGCGACAAAGCGACTAAAAACTTAATCAATACGACAATAATTTCGAAGAAAATTCTAGTCTACCATTTCTAACATCTAGTTTACCATTTCTAACATCACAAATTCCACCAAGGACTCATCAATTTCCAAACTATATAATAACCAATAACTTCTTGATAAATTTGGGGAACAGACGCTTTGTTTACAGAATGCAATAAAAGATGTCTTACAATCCTCTTACGGCATTTTTGCAGTAATTTTGAATTTGAACAATGTTCATACCTTAATTTTGCATCTTCGCTGATAGTATGTGAACAAGACTTTTGAAAAAATCTACAGAGGAATCCTCTTTAGTCCAGGCACCTCACAAATTTTCAAATTCATCCTATTAAATCCACCGGATAAACCAAACTGCCTTTCTCGTTGTTTTTCCAAAATGTGCAATTTAATTAATTCAAAATTCCAAAGTGTACCCTTCGCGATAACACTTCATTAATTACTTTCGTGCTGTATAATTAGTTGTGATTTATTTTGTTTCTTTCGTCTTTCGGAGAGGGAGAAAAGGATCACCTATTTGGTATGTGCTTAGTTCAAAATTTCTCAGTTACGGGAAGTGCTGTGATTGCTCTTATTTCAGTTTTTATTTTTTTAATTAACCGAAATGATATGACCTTATCTATCGCTAGTGACCTCCTTCGGGATAAGCGAGCGTTAGTGTTATTTTGTTTTAGTTATTAATAACACATATTTCACTTGAACTCCATTCTTTACCTTAAACTTTTTAGGCATGTTTAATTACGGTTTTAGTACAATTTATTAGAAACAAACTCCTAAGTTAATTTGCAAAAACCTGTTTTTGAATTTCAACAATTGCGATTAGTTTTTATCAACATGAAACTTAAAAAGCATAAAATATTTACGAATTTTTCCGTTATATTCATAATTATTAATACTTTTTAATTTCTCGTTTGCTTGAAAATGGTTGGCGCTATCAAATTTGTATGTTCTTTTATTTAATTCTCTTGCTTTTCCTAGTACGGTGCATGAGGAAAAAAGGGGAAAATAATTTTGTAATTTTTTTCTCAACGTCAATTTATGTTTAAACTATCCAGGGTGAACAATATATAGGTATCAGGTATGGAATATGTTATTTATCTATATCGTCCATTGTCAAATTAATTAATCATTGATGCTGATTGTGTAAGATTTGGTTTAGAAATAAATTTTTTTCGTCCAAAAAAATTAACAAGCCCTATTTGAGTGAATATAAACGGTCACGGTTTGAGAGTCATCCACCTCCTTAAGTTTGGACTGGCAAAATGGATAGCATAAATCTACCATACGGAAGCAAAGCCGAAGATAGTAAGAAAGGAGCAGCGCCGGGGCAATTAAAAAAACCTAAAACCTTAAATAAATTGCGATGCGCAATTGCAGATTCTAGTTCGTGTCTTTTAAACAGCAAGTGATTTATTATTCCACAAAGCTTTTACTTAGCTCCTTTTCAACTTGGCCCGTTGCAACGTTTCTCAGTCCGTAAACAGTCAAACAAAATGCATGTAGGTCTGACTTAACGGGCAGGAACGCTGTTTTTGAAGATATAAACTGCTCATGCGTTTGTCCTTTCCCTCGAGGATAAACCGCCTGAAGAAAGAAAAACATAATGAAAACTCTCAATTCATTACTCTCCAAAGATTATAGCCCTGACTTGGCGTGTAAAAGAAATCAAAAGCTAGGTATACTTTTTTAACAAAATGTACGCAGTGTCAAATTGAGCTGAAACTCTTTTAGCCTCGTTAGAACAATTTTCTTTTGATTGAACGCCAAATATCAGATATGATAGAACGCCAAATATCAGGGTGGCATCCATTTGACAAAAAAAACATTAAAAACGTTGAAATCTGTTTTAAAACATAAATTATATCAAAACTTTGAAAATGTTAAACGATACGTTCAATGCTCTCAAACAGAAGGCAAATTTGGACATTTTTGTATCCCAATAGGTGTGAACGAATCTAGTCAATTAAAACACTCGGAACAAGGGCCTCAAGTTTAAGGAAAGGTCAGCGAAGTCTACTTTCATAAAACCTGTTGTTTTCAGTGCTCCTAGGAAGTTAAGAATCTCAGTAAAACGAGGTGTATCTGAAACAAAATCAGGCAAAAAATGATAAAAAACATTGAAAAAGAGCACGTGTTTTAAGACACCGCTTTAAACTGTTTTAGGATCAATTGAGAAATCAATTGAAGAATCTCGTTCATGTTATCATATCCTTCAAACTATTTCCAAGTGGTTATAAACATGTCTGAAGTGGTTATAAACATGTATATTGAGCTATTCCCCCCCCCCCCCGCGAAAATGGGGGGGGGGGGGATTGCTCAATTGATCCCTGTTTCAAAACATCGCCACCCTGATTATATCAGAAACCAAGTCGACATAATTAAGCTGATTTAGAGTTCCGTTATCACAAGGAATTCAGTTTTTATTTGAGTTTCTGGAGCTTGATGATTTCTTGGCCACTGGTTTTGTTACAGCGAGTACTTTGGACTGGAAACCATTCAGCATTTCTTCTATTGAAATTTGACCGTCTTTATTTTCGTCCAAAAGCGAGAAAAATTTATCAATTTCGTCTTCACTCATCCGGTTGCCAAGTTTACCCAAAATCTGTCTAAAACATGTACATTGTTGAAGGTGATAATTTGTTTAGTTAGCGAAAGGCGAATTTTAACCTAAATACATTGCTACACAAACAAGTGCTACGACGATACGCAGACAATGTTTAGTTTGATCGATAAGATTAAAACACAATTTCTGGATATCAGTGTTTAACACAAAGAAGTTGCATTTCACGTACATACGCTGAAATATAACAAATAGCGAATCAAATCTTCGTGTAGTTTTATCAGTTACTTTAAAAATCTTGTTCTAAGAGATTTATTTAGCTCTCTTTACTTCAAAAATCACCCTGTACACTATTCAAAAAACAAGCGATGTGTGTCTCATCTTGTATCGCAATCATTGACACGGCAAAACTGCAGCTTCGCAAACACGAGCGAAAAGCGTCTAAGATTCAGATGCACAAAAGCTTTAGAAAGCACGAAAACTCACACTTTGCATGTATCAAACTATGGTGCACCACACTAACTTTGCTAACGACCACACAAACTAATAAATGATACTCTATTAAACCAAATTAATTACACAGAGTCAAAGCTGAGCTTCGCACCATTTGCGATACAAAAAAAGAATGACAATGATTAAAATCAAACGGAAAAAAATAAACTAAGAAAAAACTTCCAAGAATCGTTTTAGTCCTTAAAAACAGCAGCATAAGCCCTAATAAGCCCTTTTTCCCAAATATGCGAAAAATACGTGTACCATTGAAAACTATACAATAAGCTTTCGTAATGATAGAAGAAGCCGAGTATTTAAAAAGTTCTTTCAGCGAAATTAAGCAGACAGACAATAATCTAAATTACCCGAAAATTTTTATTTTGCAAAAAAAAACAGAACTCGGCTGGAATCAAACTACCGGGCTTTGCGGTCTTGAGCAATCCAACAGCAAATTGGAAGAAAGCGGACACTTAAAAAAATCAGAAAAACAGGTCCCGGCCGAATTCGAAACGCAACTGCTCGAAACGGCCGAAATTACAAACTTACCGTCTCGAGCCGTTGTGTTACTTCTGCACCACATGCCCCGGATGGTTGATTGAGTTTGAATTTATAATAACTAAGCGGTAACAAAGCCGAAAATACCTGAGCAGAAATCCTTCAAGAAGAAAAAATGCTAACTAAATAATTTTTTAATTCCTATTTCCCTTCAGAACACACACACGCATACAAAAACAGTTTTCGGACGTCAAAAAACCCAAAAATAGGCCACTAGATCGATATAATAAAACTTAAACCAATTAGGCCGAAAAAAAGACAAAATTGAACAAAACTACAATTTGACAAATCGAGAGAGGTGACCAAAGTCAAAATCAAAATTGTATTCGACCGTACTTTTTAAAAGGTAAAAAACTTAAAACAATTACAACACAATAGCTTAGAGCAAAAATAAATGATACTTAGATGTGGCAAGTAATCCGACAAAACTTAAGCAGACAAATATTAAGCCGACATTTTTATTTGAAACAAAAAATTTCCGTTTAAAAAAAAGGTCCAGGTCAGAATTGAACCCAGGACTTTTGCTTTCCCAGGCGTATTCGTTAGCTCCCGGCTAAGTGTACGGGAGACACGAAGAAACTTGAATTCAATATGAAACATGGTACCAAAAACCAACAAGAGTCCAAACAACAAAGTTATTTTACGGGAAAAAGTATAGAACCCGATTTCAATACCATTTCTTATCAAAAGGGTAATAAATTAAGCAGTTCAAAAACCTCACAAAAAAACAAAGAGTTGAAACATTTCTGAAACGTGATTTTTATTATTATACTGTTGTATGAGACGAATAGCTTTTAACGGTTCAATTAATGAATAGAAAAAGCATCAACTGAAAAATTAATACTACTCAAATGTCAAAGAACATGTTATTATACTGCTAAAGCAGCCTACTGGTTCAAAAATTCCACCAAAAGTAGCACTTTTATTTGCAACTCAGGTTGAGGAAAGAAGTTAAATCGCTTAATCACGCTATGCTACGCTCGTGTAATAATACCAAGTAGTTTGCCTCAATTGAATTGAGAAAGATTTCTGAATCGGATTAATTCCTCGCTTACGTTAAATAGATCGAACTATAGGCTCTTTCACCTCCCCCACCATCAAAAACTTTACACTGAGGCAAAACTGTTTTCGAAGACACCAGCGATAACACGACAAAGCAGCTTTTTTAACTGAAACGATAGAAAAAAGCCTCGAATTAGCACTACTTTGCTATGTATGGGATTGGAACCTGCAACCCCGAGAATAGGATTCTCATGCCCTGCCCTTTCGACTACGAACGTCCAATCACCGGCAAGCACTAGTCACAAATAAAACAGCTACATATTGCCAAACTATGCAGCAAAAGTGGCACCAAAAAAAGGACGCAAACTTGCAAATAATAAATCGGAAAGCATAAAACCACATTATGTATAAGCTTTGCATTTCAAAAAATAGCGCGAAAAATTTAGTAGAAAGATTCTGAAATCGATTATTGTAATGTTGTTTGAAACTAACAGCTTTTTTCGGTTCATTTGATGAATTGCGAATGTATCAACTGTGATCATTCAGAAGTCAAAGCTCGTGCTATCAAAAAGCCGTAAAAGTGCCCAAAAACTAGCACCAATATTTGCGATCTAGGTTAAAAAAAAAGAATAGTCGTAGTATAACACTAACGCTCATTAAAGTTCGCTAGTGTAATATATAAAAGTACTGTTCACATTGTCCCATTTTTATGAAAATTGACAAAATTAGGCAACATGAAAAACGTATTTGGTCTTCATAATTAACCTGGAGAAACGACACGCTACACCATAAAATTGCAGCTCGAAGGAGCTGGGCGGGGGCGAAGAGCCGAGGTATACCATGCTTCAATCATGCAGAACTGGCAGTTTTCAAATTTCTATAACTTATTAAATGAAGGCCGGCGAAAAACCTTTTTATTGTGAGCAAAGGTAGGGGGGCAGGGGGCTTTCAGATGATATAACTCAATAACGTTCAATTCAAAAAGTTCAACTCATAGGATAACACGCGCTTTTGCTTGTCCAAACCAAAAATACCATAGGTTTTCTGAAATTTGCTTTTTTCATTGCTAAATTTATATGTCATCAAAGAAATCCATGCATCATCAGTTTGATCGGATAAATATGACCTCAATGGAAAAATAAATCCATTTACCTCAAGCGGAAGGGTTCCACTGTTACTTTTGATTAGCGGCCCATGTAACAATAAACAGCCAGCACTGTCAAAAACAATGAATAAAAAAGTCAAATAAGAACTGTTTTAGAAAAAGCAAACCAACGAAGCCAAATATTTACTGTCGCTGTTTTGCATAAATTTTTGTCAGATTGTTAACATGTGCAGTTGAATTGCCTCCTTTTTGTCCGCAATCATTTATACCATTTGCAAACTCAATTCAAAACTTCATAATTAATAAATTTCAATATTTAAAATTGAATTCAACACAAATTTTTAAATTGAACAGAAAGCATGTTTTATTTCAACAGCACAGAAAGAGATATTAAACTCCGATTACCGGGTGAAAAAGTCACGCAACACAAAACTTTTTTAAAGATCAATTTTTCATTTCCTTAAAAACAATCTTTAACAAATTCTAAGCTAGACTAATAACATTAAATAACAGATTTTGCTTCGATTATAGAAATTTCTGTGACCCAAAAAATTGCTTATAAGCTTATAGAACTTGTTTTTCTGTGACCCATTGTTGCATTGCAGTTTTGAAAACTGCAAACAATTTCAGTGTCAAACTTTTTTGTTGAACGAAAATTGATGTTGATCAAATCACTTTAAAAATAGTTTAAATAAACTTGGAAATGTCACACATCAGGTTTAAATGAATTCCCATAAAAATTGGGATTAATCCTAAACAGAATGATCCTGAAACTGCTCAACGAGTACAAGACTGGTTTGTGGAAATTACATAAAGAAAGAAGATGGTGCGATCTACCTTATAGCAACCAATCAAAAGTGGCTTTACACTCATATATAGCGTATGTCGCTAATTGTCTGAACTTTGCTCACACTTAAATTTAACGCTGGACAATTTTCGGTACAAAGATTGCAACAGCAGCCGAGCAATATCAAAATTTACTAAATAGATTGAGCTGCAAAAAACGTCTCTGGATATGCAAGGAAACATAAACTTATTTTCACTAATATCGTGGACCTTGAGCGCCACAATCAGTCATTCTTTTTGGATTATTTAGAATTTATACAGTGAGTTTGCGTAAAAGAAACAAAAATTGGTTCCCAGTGTCAAATTAATTACTATGCACATTCAGTGAACCAATATTTTTGGTTTTTTAATAATAAGTACTACTATAATTATCGCTACCTCATTTCGTTTTTGTCAATAAATCCGTTTCTGTCTAGATCAAACCACTCGAATGCGGATAAGAGCGCGGAGAACATGTCTTTTCCGAAGTCATCCTTGGACCTGCTGAGGATGTAGCGAACAAACTCTTCCTCCTCTATCAATCCATTTCCTAAGCAAAATACGAATTGGAAAGGATCCAGTAAGCGAAATTCATTGAAACCATCTCCAACCACTTTCAACACTTTTCAAGTTTTCATGCTATAATTGCGGTGTTAATCTCTTATGAAGCATCTAATTCTGTCATTAAGCTAAACATTTTCTGGTCACATGACTCCGAAATCTCAAAACAGTCTCCTTTTACAGTCTTAGTAATTTGACCTGGAAGCTTAGCAAGGTACTGAGCTTCTGAGTTACATTTGGCTAGTAAAACATTCCCAACAGACAGTTGGAAAAGTGTAAGAGAACAAGGAAACCGTAAAAAAGTTGATTGAAAATTTGTCAACTTTCAAAAAAATATATATCACGTTGAAGCTCTTTGCATGTCAAATACTGTTTCTAATTGACACTTTTCTGATAAAATTAACTAAAAAATCATCAAGAGCTAGAGAATTGAAACTCATTGTTCTTATACACTTAATCAGTACTATCATAAAGGGGGGTGATACTTACCGTTGGTGTCCAAGGTGTCCATGAGGTCTCTGATCCTTGGCCTGTCTGGTACGATTCCCAACAGGGCCAGTACTTCCGCCACATTCTCTACACTCAGACAACCAGTCCTGTCTCGATCATATGCTGGACACGCATTAAAATCAGTTAGTACTTATTTATTTACCACCTTCTAAGAAACAAAATCCATCGATATTCAAAAGGCTGTTAGTCCCATAACATCTGAGGATTTTGTCTTAACACTCTAACAATTTTTTCTCAATTGAATTTTTAAGCTAACATTATTTAGATTTTCTTGGAACAAAAAAGCTGTCCATGTTAGCATAGTTACGACAAGAAATTTAAATTCACGAACTCTTCTGTTATTTGAAAACACTGGATGGAATTTAGAAGCTCCAAGACTTACCTTTGAAAGCCGATTTGATTTGCGGGATGTCCTTTTCAATGAAATGATTAGTCGACATTTCTGTCTAACTAAGACAACGAGCTTTCATCTGCGGAACTATTAAATGAATTGACGCAAACGTAGTATGAACTATCTGTTAATTTTTTTTTACTACGCAAGCGATATGGTTAAAATACGTCAAAACTGGTGACCAAATTGGTCATCTACATCAGAGGCGCTTAGCTTAGCTTTGTCTTATTTTGACCGACCTAAATGGCTTTGTTAAAAATTAGAGATATTTTACGTAGATCGAAAAGCTTTTCATTATTGATCAAAACCAAGACCTTGTTTTCCTTTTTCGAAAAAAAAACGTTCAAAATCAGCTTATGTTACTTTTCAGAACTATTGCTTTTGTTTGCAAATAAATAGAGGAAAAGATTTTTCTTCCGCTGCCTTAACTTTAGATTTAGCTCATCTAGTGTATTTTTTCTATTTTAATCTTCGACAGTGGACAATACTACGAAAACCACTGATAAAACTAGCTTTCAAAAAGCTAAGACCATGCTTAATTCACATTGACTCTCAATTAAATTCTCAAAGCCAGTTTAATCCCCAGTGAAAATATCCAATGAAACCTACTGTTCTATAGAAAAATCCATTGTAATACAGGATAAATTATATACGATCAACCAAATAAATATAAGCAAACTGATAAAATTACAAAAATAATGTTACTATCTGGGATAAGCACCATTTTGAGACTTGTTCACATTACAATTTTAGTGTTTGCAAGTTCTTCGGTTAAGCAAGACGCACGCGATAATCACCACACCAATTGCTATGCCTCCGTAAACTAGATATGAGCTGAGTGGCGAGCTTCCATCGCTGAGGGAGGGGGGTTTCTTTTTGCCCGATTTCGGTTTCGCACTATCTTCTAGTTTTCCAACTAGGTATGATTCCATCATTTCACGCGCATCTTCACTGTGACCGGCGTCCTCAAAACAGGGCTCGACATTTATTTTTGAAATCAAGCACAAATTACCAACAAAATAAAGAAAAAACCGTTAAAAGCTTTTTAGAGTACGCGAAAAACGCACTAATCCCTGATTTTAACAAATTCTACAGAGTAAGAGAAAATAAAAAATGTTATGGCGATTTTCTGGTCGACCAATGGATTCCCAAAACTCTTTCAACAGACTATTAACAGACTAATTTGTCGACACTTTCTGTACCTAAGTTGAGTTTTCAAGTTCCAGGTAAAAACGGAGAAACATTCTTTTAACAAAAAGCGGCCCTGCCTCGAACTCCTCAGTAGCGTCTTTTCCGGCCACTTCCACCAGGATATCGGAGCCTCCCGGATGTTCGAACTGGAACTGAGTCAGGTTGTACACTTTGTCCTCCACTGCCACCCAGAGGTCGTCGATTGAGTTGTGCTGGGCCAGCTCTGATTCACTCACTATGGTTTCACTCATGATAGCATAGGTCTGAAAAATTCCAGCTAAATTGAGACTCAATCAAGATATATGCATAAAATAGCATCAATATGAATTACTTTAACTTAGTTTGACAGTTTCTTGCATTTAACTCATTTTTGATTGAAACTTGTGATTGACTGACCAATAGAAAAAAAATTAGCAACTACAAAATTAGCAACAAACTAACCAGTCATTAAAACTTTTTCACTTCAGACAATGGCACGTCCACAAAAACAGCTAATTATCACTTTTGAAATTCATAATCCAGAATTCAAATCACATCCAATTTTCAAAAAACACTCAGCCAGTAATTCAAAACCATTGCCGCCACTTGTTCGTCAATCAGTTTCAAACGAGCAAGCTTTATTCAATTCTGACTTCTGGAAACCTGTCGATCTATAGTCAAAAACTTTGACGACATATTTAGAACCAAAAGAATGATCTTAAATAATTAATTCGAAAATATCTCAAACACCTCTATCAATCAAAATTGCACGTATACACAAGTAAACTCCGTAAATAATAGCCGGTGTATCGAAACAATTTCCAGCCCAAAATCACAACAGGTTTGAACATAGAAGGCAACTACTACCAACATTCAAGTCCACCACAATAATTAAGACTCCCAGGTGAACATGAATATAAGGCTCGGTTTGAATCTCGTTAAAGCTAATAGTATAAGAATAAAATAATTTATGAGAAGAGAAAAATAGTATGCCATGGCTAAGTGGTGAAGGCAAGTGACTCTTAGACGGAGAATCAAATTTTTTAAAGATAATTTTGGTTCAATTCCACATTTTATATTTGAGTTCCATGGATAATAATCGATTAAATTGAATTTTCGTGGTCTGTCTCAAAATTTTTTGAAAATAATCGATTAAAAATGAATTATAATGATACTATTTTTCTAATCGATAAAATCCAAATACAATCGATTATTTTTGAAAAAAAAAATGAAACTTGTTTTTGTGGCAAAATATTCACTTTTATAATCGATTATAATTGCGCATTTCTAAGATTAAATTTTCAGAATAATTGTAACCAATGTCAGTTGCCTAATTTGGAGCAAATTTTCTTTATATTATTTTTATTAAAACTTATTCAAAATCGTGCGATCTCAGAAAAGACTTCATTGAGACAAAACATGAAAATTTATCTATATAGTGTACACAAGACGTAAGAGTCATTCATAAAGTTATTTTATTATTTCCAGGGTCCGATTGTAAGTAGTAGTAGTACTACTAGGATATCTGAAAATATCTAATGTGACCACCTCCACCAGTTTTACCCACAATCGGATGGTTACACTTATTGTCGGAAATGTTTATTTGAGTTAATTGGTCGGGGCGGGCAGCTATTATGATAAATGGTTTCTACAAACAAAGAAGACTTTTTAAAATCATTAGATTTGAATTCTACTTTATTGGGGGTGTAGAAGTTGGTGGTCTTATCATAATGGGTTGAATTATGTGCCTTAGAAAAATTTTAAAGTCTTTTTTGTTTAGGATTACCATTTGCCCTTTAAACTGCCCTGTCCGACCAACTTGCTTTCACCTGTATGCCAAATCGTAGAGAAGAACTTTTTAAAAATATTCTGCGACATGAGAAAGTTCTTGAAAACATGAGAAATGAGAAAGAAGTTTTTTTTAAATTTCAATTATTATTTTTTTAATTTTGAAGAGAGCGGGTAGGTAAGTTCGACCTTCCCCCTCCCGCTCTCTACGTTCATCGACCTCCCCCCCCCCCCCCTCCCAACTTACGTTTATCGAAGATAAGTATGCAAACCCAGCCCCCCCAAACAGGATGCTATGCAATTGGGGTGGAGTAGTTGCATTGAAGTTATCACTGATCCCAAACATAGTTAATAAGCATCCCCCAGTAATTGACTAGCCAACCTTCATCGACAACATTAATAACACTTGACGTAAGTGGGTGTCGGGTAGAAGAGGACGGGAACTCGAGGCACGTTGGGTACGAGAGGCCGTGAACTCGGTGAGCGCTGGGTACGAGAGGCCGTGGACTCGGTTGTCGTTAGCTAGCAGGCTGTGATGTTGCTGGTCTTAGTCTACGAAAATAAATGACCTCACTGGGCGTTGGGTAAGAAAGGCAGTGATCTCAGTGGGCGTTGGGCAAAAGAAGTAGTGAACTCAAGGGGATTTTGGTAATAGAGTAGTAGACCTCATTGGAAGTCGGGTATATCGTCCAGTGGATGTTTTACTATGTAGTTTATGTAGTTTCATTTTCAGATATCGGTTGAAATTTTCGTATCATTAAAAAAAGGAGCACGGAAACAATTTCAGGAGAAAAAGTCAAATTAAGTGTACATTTGAAGGTGAGGTTGTTAAATTTCAATTAGAATTAAGGAAACTTATTATTGTCACAATAATTCGCTTTTTCTTCAGGAAAAAAATCACACTGGAACTAGATACACCAGTTAAAATTAATATTTCATCACTTAGTTTCCTTTAGATACAGATAAACACTTTAATTACCTTTTATGAGGTACGATTTGATTTTTAGTAATTATTTGTGCTCGGTGGTCGTTGGGTACGAGAGGCCGTGAGCTCGGTGGGCACTGGGTACGAGAGTCCGTGAACTCGGTGGGCGTTGGGTAGGAGATGCTGTGAACTTGATGGGTCCAGTGTACGAAAAGCAGTGACTTCACTGGGCGTTGGGTAAGAAAGGCAGTGACCTCAGTGGGCGTTGGGTAAAAAAGTAGTGATCTCAAAGGGCGTTTGAAAAAGAGTTGGTGACCTCAGAGGAAGTCGGGTATGTCATCCAGTGGAGTGTTTTACTAAGTTTGTGTAGTTTCATTTTCAGATATCGGTTGAAATTTACCTATCATGAAAAAAGAACAGAGCAAGGAAACAATTTCACAAGAAAAAGTCAAATTAAGTGTACATTTGAAGGTGAGCTTGTTAAATTTCAATTAGAATTAAGGAAACTTATTATTGTCACTATAATTCGCTTTTTCTTCAGGAAAAAAATCACACTGGAACTAGATACACCAGTTAAAATTAATATTTCGTCACTTAGTTTCCTTTAGATACAGATAAACACTTTAATTATCTTTTATGAGGTACGATTTGATTTTTAGTTATAATTTGTACTCGGTGGTCGTTGAGTACGATAGGCCGTGAACTCGGTTGGCACTGGGTACGAGAGGCCGTGAACTCGGTGGGCGTTGGGTAGGAGAGGCTTAGAACTTGATGGGGTCTACTGTATGAAAAGCAAGGACCTCACTGGTCGTTGGGTAAGAAAGGCAGTGACCTCAGTGGGCGTTGGGTAAAAAAGTAATGACCTCAATGGGCGTTTGTAAATAGAGTTGGTGACCTCAGAGGAAGTCGGGTATGTCATCCAGTGGAGTGTTTTACTAAGTTTGTGTAGTTTCATTTTCAGATATCGGTTGAAATTTACCTATCATGAAAAAAGAACAGAGCAAGGAAACAATTTCAGAAGAAAAAGTCAAATTGAGGGTACATTTGAAGGTGAGCTTGCTACATTTCACTTGGAGTAGTTGCATTGAAGTTATCACTGATCCCAAACATAGTTAATAAGCATCCCCCAGTAATTGACTTGCCAACCTTCATCGACAACATTAATAACACTTGACGTAAGTGGGTGTCGGGTAGAAGAGGCCGTGAACTCGAGGCACGTTGGGTACGAGAGGCCGTGAACTCGGTGAGCGCTGGGTACGAGAGGCCGTGGACTCGGTTGTCGTTAGCTAGCAGGCTGTGATGTTGCTGGTCTTAGTCTACGAAAATAAATGATCTCACTGGGCGTTGGGTAAGAAAGGCAGTGATCTCAGTGGGCGTTGGGTAAAAGAAGTAGTGAACTCAAGGGGATTTTGGTAATAGAGTAGCAGACCTCATTGGAAGTCGGGTATATCGTCCAGTGGATGTTTTACTATGTAGTTTATGTAGTTTCATTTTCAGATATCGGTTGAAATTTTCGTATCATTAAAAAAAGGAGCACGGAAACAATTTCAGGAGAAAAAGTCAAATTAAGTGTACATTTGAAGGTGAGGTTGTTAAATTTCATTTAGAATTATAGAAATAACTATTGTCACTATAATCCACTTTTTCTTCAGGAAAAAAATCAAAAATCAAATTGGAACGAGATACACCAGTTTAAATTAATATTTCGTCACTTAATTCTTCTAGATAGAGAAAGACTTTAACTACCTTTTATAGGGTACGATTTGATTTTTAGTAACTATTTGTGCTCGGTGGTCGTTGGGTACGAGAGGCCGTGAGCTCGGTGGGCACTGGGTACGAGAGTCCCTGAACTCGGTGGGCGTTGGGTAGGAGAGGCTGTGAACTTGATGGGTCCAGTGTACGAAAAGCAGTGACCTCACTGGGCGTTGGGTAAGAAAGGCAGTGACCTCAGTGGGCGTTGGGTAAAAAAGTAGTGATCTCAAAGGGCGTTTGGAAATAGAGTTGGTGACCTCAGTGGAAGCCGGCTATGTCATCCAGTGGAGTGTTTTACTAAGTTTATGCAGTTTCATTTTCAGATATCGGTTGAAATTTACGTATCAATAAAAAAAGGAGCAAGGAAACAATTTCACAAGAAAAAGTCAAATTAAGTGTACATTTGAAGGTGAGCTTGTTAAATTTTAATTAGAATTAAGGAAACTTATTATTGTCACTATAATTCGCTTTTTCTTCAGGAAAAAAAATCACATTGGAACTAGATACACCAGTTAAAATTAATATTTCGTCACTTAGTTTCCTTTAGATACAGATAAACACTTTAATTACCTTTTATGGGGTACGATTTGATTTTTAGTTATAATTTGTACTCGGTGGTCGTTGGGTACGAGAGGCCGTGAGCTCGGTGGGCACTGGGTACGAGAGTCCGTGAACTCGGTGGGCGTTGGGTAGGAGAGGCTGTGTTTGATGGGTCCAGTGTACGAAAAGCAGTGACCTCACTGGGCGTTGGGTAAGAAAGGCAGTGACCTCAGTGGGCGTTGGGTAAAAAAGTAGTGACCTCAAAGGGCGTTTGGAAATAGAGTTGGTGACCTCAGA